CGCTCTTCCAAATGCATTGCTGTCTTTCACATTCTGTGCAGATCCTGCCTTACACAAAAATTGGTGCTGTACTGTACAAAATGAAGAGAGATGTCTCCTGTGTAATACGTTCATTTTAACTGTTTGACTTAACTCACTATGAAACATTTCAGTGTTGTCACCAACCACAGCCCTGCACTTTATTGTAAAATAATTATAAAATCCCCCAAACCACAGCACTGTGATGAAGGCTTGCAGCGTAGCCACTCAACCATCTGTTCCTTATAAAGTGTTCCATTTTCAGAGGAGGGAGGAAACCAGTTCAGACAATTTTAAGATGAGATTTTACTTCATAATTCTCTGGTATTTTATTTTTTGTGTTCTATCCTTCTATTTTGCTGGCTGGATTTGCCATTTTCCATATTTTTTGAAACTTGCCCTTTTTTCTTTATTACAGTTTAGAACAACAAATTCCATGAGAGAGAATGAAGGTAGAGGCACAGTAGGAAAGCAAATCAACTGAGTAAAATAAAAGTGCACCTCCAAAATCTGTTTTCAGAGTGCCCTAGTTCTTGGGCAGCCATTGGACAGTGCAGCTGTGAATTGCTTTCATGCACACACAGTTAACAATCAGGTTATTTAATAAATATTGGGAAAAGAAAGGTAGATATGTGTGAGAGAAATGGGAAGAAAATAAGAGCTGTGCTTTTCTTTGTCTATTTTAATACCGTTTGAGCCTTCTCTCAGTAGGGTTCAAACTATATCTAAGTAAATGAATAGCTGACAATGACAGCTGAAGCACCCAGTATGCCAAAGGCATAAAAGAACAGTGGCTCAAACAAAAATCTGTTTTCACTGCACACTGTGATCCCTCAGGCTGCTTGCTGAGGATTGTGAAAGCACTCTTACAGCAAACCTCCATCAGCCTCCAAGGATAGGCATCTCTCTGCAGGCCTGGCAAGGAAAAGCTGAAATGTGGTTGTTTGGGAATGAGTCAAGATTGCAGTCCTCTCATTACTTAAAGGAGTCAGAGGTTCAGAGAACAAGGATGATCTGATGGAATCACTGGTAACTGTACTATAAACAGAGAAATGTGAAAATGCCAGAGGTTTCCCTGGATCCCATAATTCAAACTAAGACCCTCACGGTCAATGAAAGAATGTGCAGTGGCTGATGACGTCAAGACTTTCTTTCTCCCCAGCCACTCGCTGTTATTTAACTGTTTTAGACAGAGAGGCACAGACAAAGTTGTGTTTAAAATAAGACACACGATGGGTTGTGTGACAAGGATTATCTAATATGCTTTAACCGTTTTGGTTCCCCTCCAGTCGTGGCTCCTATGGTCGGAATAATGGATCCTCATCCTACAAGTCGGGAGGCAGCCCCCCTACTTCCCGTGAAAAGGACCTTTTGTCGACGCTGTGCAGAAATCAGCTGAGTCCTGTTAACATCCATCAGAATTATGGGGCTTCTTCAGCCAGTAGCAGTAACTCGGGCTCGTACAAAGGAAGTGACAGCAGCCCAATAATGAGGCAAGTGTTTACTTCATCCTCCCAGTATTCACTTACCTTCTCGACCCTCGAACGTGGAATCAGCTCTCTGGATTGGTGAGCAAGTCATCTTGCTCCTCAACATAGGTGTGACTTTTCATGTTCGTGGCTGGACACTCAGCAAGTTGCTCCATCCCACGTTTTTCTCTCAGTATGAAAGCTTGATTGTTTCAGCACTGCAAAATTCAGTGCTACTCTTGGTCAAAGGTCTCTTGTAGTTGGTTTTCACTCCAAGGCAGGCTCATGTGGTTTCAAACCATCAATTCTCATGTGAATTTACTGGCTCTTTCATATAAAAGGGTTCATTTTGCCTCAGAAAGCATTGGGTGTAGCGGTACAGAAAATGTTATGCGCTCATGTGAAAATTCACCCTGCTTAGCCTTAGGCACATACCTAAAGAATGCAGTTCCATGTACCGAGAAGAAAACATGTACCTGCCAGAGGACTTCTCACATGTTACAGAGACTGAATTGCCACCTGGATGTCGCTTCCATTCTGCTGCTGTTTCCTTCTCTCTCTTTGTCCCTCAGGCAGCTCGCTGTTAGGCATGCCAAATATACCCCTAAAGACAGATAGGATAAAACCACTTTCACTGTGCTTGCCTTCATAGCTCACACACGGATCTAAACTGAATTCTGAAACTAACTTACTCAGCTGCGTCTACAGCTGAGGAGTGCCCTTGCAAGTGTCCTTGCTGTCTGCTGTTGAACGCTCCACCCATTTTAGATGAGGGAATGTTTAGGTATTTCAAAGTCAAATATCTCATTTGATATGACTGCACTGAAACCAAGTACAATAAATAGTAAAATTTTTACTATAGCCACAAATCAGCAGTTTCCTCAAGTACTTTGGTTTGCCAGACTGAGTCGATTATGCTGCCACTGGGAGAAGCCCAAAATGAGTCAAGTGTAAACTCAGCTTTGTATCAGTCAATGTGATATCTTTCTTTTTGCCAAGACTAAAGAACTGTAGGACTGATGTTATGTGGTGGTTGGTTTGTTTCTTTTTCTTTTCAGGCGATCAGTGAGATACACGTCTTGTGGTGAGAATCATGGCATTAAGCCACCAAATCCAGAGCAGTATTTGACTCCTCTGCAGCAGAAAGAAGTTACAGTACGACATTTAAAAACAAAGTTGAAGGAATCTGAGAGCAAACTTCAAGAAAGGTGCATTTCATTTCAGAAATCAGAGTTACAAAGAAGGGGTCAGATTTATTCAGAAGGATTTGAGGGGGGAATCCTGAACGTTTTCCTCATTTCTCGACCTCACAGAAGTTTTAACTAAGGAATTTAAAATAGAGTCAGTCTGATTAAGTTCTTTTCAGGCATTTCAGGTTTCGTAGCCTGTTCAGTGAATATGTACTATTCAGTTTACTTACGAATTTGATGAATATGATTGGCTTGTTTCCCTTCTTTGAACTTGTCTAATAGAATAATATTTCAGAAGGACGTTTTTTTATCAGTCTCATTTAGCATCAGGACCTTTTATACAGACGACAGTTCATGCGTGCAAGTATGTATCACCTCAGTCTTCTGTTCTACCTCAGTCAGTGAAATATGCCTACAAAATGTGCCCCGTCTTCCATAATGAAAGGAAAGCTCTTACACAAACCCGTGTGCCTGCCTGTGTTTTTGTTGCTTAGATGATTGACTTTTTCACAACGTACATACCTTTGTACTGATGCTGAGCAAAGGAGTGACAGTATGCATTACACAGCAACAGATGTAGTTTCTTTAATTAAGAAGTGCAGACTGAGACTTGGGTCTCCATCACACAGAACCCCAAGCAGGCAAAAAGCGGCATTTGAACAAAATCCCAGTGCGGACTCCTGGGACCCCCTGTGTCTGGCTCAGGGCAGAGGTCAGACCTCTGCATTTGTAAGGGCTGGAGGTCACTTAGGAGCTGCCTCTCCCCACTTGGCTACAAGTCGGGGCAGCAGCCTCTCACTCCATGCAGAGCTGCCTACTTGGAAAGCAGGCACATGCTGCTTGTGTGAGGAGGTCAGTGACTCCAGACAGATAGCAGTTAACCGCTTATCTTGGCAGCCTCGTTGCACCTCTGCCAATTCTCTCTGAAGTGGCACTAAATGGTGCGTGGAGGAATTTGCCTCCTCCTTGGAGGAGCTCTGCATTCCAGCTCAGGGACCTTCTCTTTGACTCTTTCATTGACCAGCCAGCAGAAGTGTTACAACATTTTTGTTTTGCTACAGGGAAACAGAAATAGAAGAGCTCAAGGCTCAGCTGGGGCGCATGAGGGAAGACTGGATTGAAGAAGAGTGTCATCGTGTGGAGGCACAGCTGGCTTTGAAGGAAGCAAGAAAGGAAATTAAACAACTCAAGCAGGTTATTGAAACCATGAAGAACAGCTTGGCTGAGAAAGACAAAGGCATTCAGAAATATTTTATAGACATAAACATTCAAAACAAGAAACTGGAATCTTTGCTTCAGAGCATGGAGATGGCGCAGAACGGCTCTATGCGGGACGAGCAGTGTCTGGAGTACATGTGTGGCTCACCGGGGAAGTCGTTAGCGTTGTATTCCAAAATGTCAGACAGCTTAATCACAGAAGACCAGGCGCTGGAGGAGATGGCAGATAGTGGGCTGCTTCTAAGTGAAGACACAGCTAACGGGACTGACTCGTTTGAAGAGAGTTTGACCACCACAACTTCTGACTTGGGTGATCCAGCTGCCTTCAGTTCTGCTATGAATCAAGAGGTATTTGAAAATGTTCCTGATGAAAAACTGATTTCTTCCCCAGAAGAGGAGGAAAGCAGCAACAACATGGGGGTGGAACAGGCCATTCAGACCGATGTGGTGCCGTATAGCCTAGATGTGGAGCAGCTCATTCAAAATATCTTCAGATCTCAAGATAGCAGTCCTGTCAGCCCACCTTCTGTACTGAAGGAATTGGATGAATTTCCTTCTGGATACTTGAGTGATTCTGGCGTAGTAGTAGACTTAACTCCAAGTGATCCAAACTCTGCCATTCTTTTGTCTCCTATGGAGTCTCCATGCAGCAAAGCGGATTGCGGAATTAATGAAAACCGTGTCATGAGAGAACTTGATTTTACAGACCCTCATGATGAAGCTTTGGGGTATGTCAATACTTTCTCTCAGACAGGAATCGTGAAGCGATACTGGAGTAGCAGTCTCCTTGTAGATCTTCTAGCTGTAGCAGCCCCTGTTGTACCAACTCTCATGTGGGCATTCAGTACTCAGAGAGGAGGTACAGATCCTGTTTATAATATCGGAGCATTGCTTCGTGGCTGCTGCTTGGTGGCCCTGCACTCTTTACGTCGTACACCCTTCAATATAAAAACCTAAATTTCACTCTATTATCAGGCACCAATTGGCTGAGGCAGAGGGAAAGAAGGTTGAGCTAGATCGTAAAAAGATACTGTATTTTATGGCAGAGTCCATCATTTTGCTCTTGACTATTTGATTTGCACTATAAATTGGTTCGAAAACATGTTTCTTGTTTCAAACAAAGAAGCTGAACCCTGTAGTTCCACAAGACGTTTTTAACTGGCACAGGCTAGTACTGCTGCCTACAGAAATAGCCCTGCGTGCTCCTAGCCGCCGATTCCCTCCCCTGTGCTGGTGTCTTCCCTGTGCCACCCCATCTGCACAGTGAAAAATGATCAGAGAAATGGAGGAGAATTACAGCTAGCACTCTTCTGTGCTTGTCTGCTGAATTAGTTTTAAGCTCGCTTTCCCTGCTGTTTCACTGAGCGAGCGCACAAAGGCTCCACGCTGGCTCACGGATGCATACAGGAACACACGGCCAGAGAGGACTGGAACTTTCCTTAGGCAGCACTAACCTAAAACATTTGTGAAACTACACCGTTAAGTGACACGGAGACTCGTTTCCACTAAGTGTATCACACGCGTACTCTTGAAAGCATGCTAGCGCTTTCCGTTTGTAGTCTGAATTGTCAGTTCCACTTGGAAAATTCACATTTCCAAGGCAGCTTCCAGCGCATAGTTTATGCCTGTCTCGCGTAGTGCTCTTTTCAATTAGGCGATTGCTTGAGCATTCCACTGGTCTTGTGTGTATAAGGGGACAGTAACCAAAAACGTAGAAGTTGTTGGGAGTCTTGAATCGTGTTACAAGGATAAATGTGGACGTGGATACACTTTGAATATTAATGTTGTTTTAAGGTCTTAAATGTATTGGAACCTGATAGTCATTCGAGCCCTGTGAAATACTATGTATAAATGTATTGTGTATTAACTTATTGGTTATTTAATTGCTTTATTGTAAATTACCTTTATAATCACAAATACAGTAAGCATGTTAAAAATGTGAGAGAGTGTTTTATTCTAGCAAAAGCAATAACAAGAAAATTCAGTTTCGGGGGGGGGGGGGGATACCACTCAGGCACGCACACAAAGTGGGAGGAGGAGCTGTAGGGGGGCCGGAAGGAACTGTCAGTACCCTGAGAACAGAACGAGATAGAGAAAACCTGATTACGGCTTCAAGGGGAAGCGCTCAGCCAGAGAAAAAGGCTCCATGCTGTCTGCAGAGCCGCAGCCACCCCTTCTGCCGCACCCACAGATGTGTTAATGGGTGCACCCACAGATCTGTTAATGTTGTGCATTAACAGATTCAACAGTGACCTAGCCTTTAACCCAACAAAATCTTCCAGAGACCTGTAACTTTTTACTTCTGCACGCCCACAAGGATATCAGTCTTCCTGGCGTTTAAGAAAAAGCCAGAAAGCCTTTTTTAAACGCAGCTGAGTCATGCAGTCTCAGTATGTACTCTGAGATGTACAGTGGCAATTAAACCACAAATTCTCCATGTCCAGAACTTGAGATCTGTGCGTAGATCAGAGGAGGGCAACGTGACACGGAGATAACAATCCAGTTAGTCTGGCTCCACGCAGACTTTCAACAGTACCATTCGACATTTAAACCTCACTGTCCTCCTGTTTTCCCCGCAGCAAAGCAAGTACAGCATTGCCCTGTGCAGCCCAGAGCAGCAGGCGTACGGTGAAGCCTGAGCGTGCTCATGCATTGCTTTGCAGCTGTTAGGGAGTTACTAGTAAACTACAAGGGAGCAGGAATAATTGGCCAGCATGTTGGGAGTATTTACAGCACTCAAGAGGGTGATGTATACAGATGCTTACAGGAGAGTACTAGTGATCTTTTACCTCCCCGTGGTACCTGTGTGCTGAATTACTTGTGTTTGCAACAAAGACTTTAAGTGGGTTCCTTAAAGATTACAGTAAGGAAATCTGACAGACTATTTGATGCATTTGATGAATGACTCTGCATAAGTCCGTGAAGGTAGCCATGACCACGTTCTGCCCTCGCTGCCTTAACCTTCTTCGATGGTCTCATGCATGGTTGGGTCCATGCTGGCTAGTTAGCCTTATACCACTGCCATATATATAGGTATCTAAAGGTCACCATCGCTTTAAAGAGGTGCTTTGTTGTGTTTTGTTTTTACGTAGCTGCTAGGGCCAAAATCTTTTTTTTTGATGCAGATTTTACACTTAATGTCAGAATTATGCCATTCCTAAGTATTTCCCCTCAGGACTGAAAAACATTATGGAAAAAGCCTTATTCCTACTTCAAAAATACATCTGTTCAAGGCTAAGAGAGCAATTTCTGAGCCCTTCTGTTACCATCTTTACTACAATTTTGGATTTATCTTTTGCTCCACTACTGCTCAAGCAATCTACACTTTGAGTGCTGGTAAATAGAACGTAATTTATGGGGAAAAATAATCTTCAGGTTTAGGAGAGGCATTCAGTTGCAACTGCAGATTTTTTTGGTAGCAAGCAGGCAACAAAGCAACACAAAGCTCCTTACATTTACGTTTTAAAAATTCAGTGGGTTAAGCTCATTTCAAGCCATGATTCTGGCAGGTTCCATTTAGCAGTGTAAACGTATTGTTCAAGACATAAGGTACTAACACTAGAATAACATCGTTGTTGCTTCCTGCCCTTAAAAAATCTTTCTGTTCACTCATCTCTTAAAAGGGATTTAACTATGCTCAGTGAGATGTTACAGAGTCCCCATCACAAGATCAGTAAAAACCCGTCCTCTGATCTCTACTCAAAATTCAGATTGCTTCCAAGTCTCCACCTTTCCTCCTTCGTACTGCAAGGATATAGACAGCCCAAGATGTCCTTTGCAAGAAGAGGCCTGAAGTACCAAGCTCCAGCCCCTGACCTTGGGGAACCGGACTTTTTAATCTCCATCCACAGGAGGATATCCCAGCAGTTGTAGCAGACACACCATCTTACATTTTTTTTCCTCTAACATTTGGCTCAAGTGTTAGCCATGTATCAGCTGGTGCTGTACAGAGCAGCTAGGAAGACCATGAGCCTCCAAACAGTTCTAATCATAAAAAATCCTATCCTTTCTTCTGAGTTTAGAAAATGTTCATACCCATACAGCACTGAAAAAATCTTGCCTCAAAACATACAGATGGGGAGGACAAGCAGCTCACAGGCTTAGGGTGAAGTAGCAGGTGTGCACTTAAATTCAAGCTTACAGGAGAGCATAGGAACCAAGCCAGCCCCTTTCCTGGCCGAAGCAAAGTTTGTTGATAACCCCATTAACGCTTTCCCTTTCCAACCCAGAAACAGAAAAGACTTTTTAACATTCAGCTTAGAGGTTCCCAACATGTCTGTAAGCTGCAGAAAACTTTCAAGCATAGGGACTATCCACTTGCCCACAAAAGATTCACCTGCACTCTTAACTATGTCCCCGCTCTCACAAAGCTGTTCTTAACTTCCCTTCCCCTTCCCCCCAAATAACTTAATCATTACATCTCCCAAATCCCAAGCTCTGGAAATGTACTAAAATGAAAGTCATGTCTTATTTTTGCAGTGTCCTACCTGAGTAGAACAAACAAGCATTTTACTTCAAAATCCTTCGGACAGATAAATTGAGCGCAGGACATTTCAAATACAACCATCAGTGGCACAGCTGAGGAAAGAACGGTTTTCCACTTGTCACAGCAGGTCACTCCTGTATGGTGAAGAATAACACTGAAAGCAATCAAGACCAGCTTCCAGTAAAGAAGAAAAGAAAGGGCAGACAGGCTATGTGCAGAGAGGGGAAAGGAGGAGGCTATGGCAACATGAAAAAATGGAAGCAACTGTATCCAAAGGTTGCACAAGATGGCTTAAGGAACTCAAAGTGAGGAAAAAGTTATTATCAGAGGGGCAACTACATAAAGGTTTAGCAAAAATGTTTTGACGTTTGCCGAGGATAAAAAGCAGCTAGTGGGGACAGCTAGCAGAGGAAAGAGGAGGAAATAGATAACACCATCTGGGTTTTTAATATGCAAGATACTACCTGCAAGAACAGCAGATTCTTACTATCTTTATGCTGGGACATACTTCCATCTTCCATTTGTCAAATTCCTGTAACTTCTAGAGCAGCAGTGCTCAACTATCTAGACTGAAACTGGAAAATGGGCACGTATATGGGAAGAACAGTAAATCAGTGCTAGTATGCAGCACAGGTAGGAAAATCAACATAAGAGGGCTGACATGCAACAACAAAAAGGCAGCTAACACTTTTTAACATACTTGATGGCTAAAAGAAGAAATGCACTTTTATAATGTCTTCAGGGTCTATGCTTCAAACTTTTTACTTACTAGCCAATGATTTGTTAAATATTCCTTATGTATTGAAAAGTATCAGTATCTACTTCGTATTCTCCCAGAAATGGCAAAAGTAAGCATTGAACTTTTTTTAATATGAGATATAGCTTTCAATAAATTTTATCATAAATAAGCAATAGAATTGTCTAAATCTACATTTTCCTGTCCTAAGAGCCCCATTGCAACTTGTACCTCCTCACTTCATCAGTGCACTTAAAAAGGACCCCCCCCCTTTTTTTTTTCCCCAATTCAGACTTTCTCCTTATCTCCCATTAGCCCGTTCAGATACATTAGGAGCAGGTTTGCCATACAGCTATTTAGAGTCTGCACAGCTGCTAGTCACCCATTCCATTTCAACTAAAACAACTCTGGGCAGAAAATACACACATTATAGTGATTTTTCTGTAGTTAATTTTCCCTCTGTTGCTTTCCAAAACATATTTTAAAACTCTCAAAGCTGTGGCATATCCAAGTTTTTCCTTAAGGCCAAAAGGACTTCATTCAGACTTAAAAGTTGCTATCAAGTTGGCTGAGAAGCTATCATACCATCATCTAAGCTCTGCAGCAACAGGACAAGCAGACTTAACATTTTTTAAACTTCTCTCCCTCACTGAGGCCATTAAAGGTAAGTCTTACTGTCTTGCTTTCTCAATCTTTTAAATAAAACTTGTGTCAGAACCTGCTTACAACTTGGTTAAAACTCCTATTTTTCTAGGGACAGGTGATCTAGTCAAACAACCTCCAAGCTGCTCTAAGAGCAGCTGGCAAATAGGCAAGGGAGTACATTTAGCCCTTCCCTACCTCTTACAACTTTACTGTTCACTGTATGCACAGTCTTAGGGGCAGAATTTGCCGTCTTTGTATATCTTTAACACACACACACAAAAAAAAAAAACCCTGTATAACTGAATCACCAGCTTCATTAAGGGGGAAGGCACAAGTGATCTCACTTATACTACCTAATCAATAAGCATAAAGTGTAGGGATTTTATTTTCCTAACCATAGCAAGTAAAGAAAATTGTGCTAGAAGCACAAACACATTTACCAGTACAAAAAGTGATTAAAACCTGGCATATTAAATCACTCCCCGATGCTGACTGTTTTGACCTTCACAAGAAGTAAACAGACTGCACCACTGTTGTGTAATGATGCCATTGTGTGTAGCCATTACAATGTGTTGCAGGCAGGCATGGTATGACCCTAAGTTGCAAGTTACAAAGTGATAAGAAATTCAGTTAGTGTCCTCTATGGCAGTATGCTCTACCAGTAGTAGATTTGAAAAGTTGCAGGTCATCCATAACAAGTCATTTTCTTCTGCACAGGTCAATACGATTGCCCATGGAAAACACTGCAGTATTTATAAATACTTTCATAAGAAGGGCAAAAGCAGACATTCTTGTATCAGGCATGAAGCAAAGGGTTCTTTAAAATCATTTAATTACATATTTCAGGTAAGCACAGACAATACAGTATATTCCCCACCACTGAATATTTACACTCCTTTCCCTAAGCTTGAGCTGTTCATTAAGAACGTCTCTCAATCAACATCCCCGTTCGGTCACTTTTCTCGCAGAGAACAGTGCCAGAATAGAGCTATTGCAGAAAAGATCATTTGAGGCATGATTTTGTGTGTGGTTTCCCCCCCTACCCGCCCCATTAAAGATCTGTCCGCTAGTAGTTCAAGGTATTTTAGGAGAATTCTGGCTTCCGAGATGACCTGAAGAATGCATTAAAACCAAGCAGTACATTGAAGTCCTAGAAATACTTAAATCAATACCAGTAATGCATATGTTGTAGAGCTGGAATTCTCTTTTTTTACTGGCATTGCCATTGATGCCTGGTTTCTGTTAGGAAAGTTTAACGCCAATTTTGTTTTGTTCTTTTTTCATTAGCCTTTGAGCCTCTTTCTCCATTTTCTTTCGTTGTTGTTCTGCTGCTCTCTTTTCCCTTTCTGCTATCTTCTGCTGCCTGCAATTAGAGAAAAAAATGAATTGCTAAAAATAGGAGTCTAGTTTTCAGTATAGTTGTATCTTAGGTTTCTACCATTACATAGGTTAAATAATAGCTAATACAAACAAAATCTCAAAGTCTACAGCAGTTAGACTCAGAATAGTTATTCTTCTTATTGTGATAGAGTATCCATCCTTTGCTCAGATTAATCTTAGGCCGTAATATTTCTTCAAATATTTTACCATCTAAAAGCTACTTCATTCTCAAAAATTCAGAATAAATAGAACTATTTAGGAAAATCCATCTAGCTGTAAGAGTCAAAATTACACTTATCTCCTCAAATTTAGACCAATATGATTCAACTTGCCTAGAACATTGAGTTTTGTCCCCCCTTTCCCTCAAGCAGAGGCGTAACTAACTATCCTCCTTGTATGCAAGCGCTACAAACACTTTCTCCATGATCAGATGGGGTGCTAACTTCTACTATTCCCTTTCACTTGTCCAGGATCTGTGATGAATTCTGTTGCTCAGGACAAATATAAACAATACCCTTTAGGAAATAAAAGCTAAAAAAGGAAGTCCTCAGCTGTGTATCCTTTAAGCATTATTTCTTATTACTGCTATCAAACCCGACATCGCTATCTGCCAGCTCAAAGGATCTGTCTACAGAAATAGTTTTCAATTGCAACAAACATAGCTGACTCGAAAACCAGACTGTGCTCACTTTACTTCCCCCCTCCAGCTAGGACTCATTGTGTGGCACAGGGGCAGCAACTGGATCAAGTGACAGATCGTAGCTCTCTCCTGTATTTCATAAGCAGTAATAAAATAGTGCAAGGAGGTCAATCCTGATCTGGATTCAGTTCATTAGATATGAAAAATTGCCAGATTTCTTGTAAGATAGCTTAAAAATAAAAGTGAAGGTTGATTAATTTGAAAAGGTTACATTTAACAGATTCAGTAAGAATAAAAAATAGCTTATTAAAAAAGAATAACTCAAAAATCTAGTGGATAAGGCAGTTAACATTAATCTAAATTAACAGTATATTTCCACTCAAATGTGTAATACACGCACAGATTTAGAAATCACCACCACCTAAGGCAACCTTCTTTGTAGATTCCCAACCACGGCCAAATTGAGCATATGAAATTTAGAAATACTAGAGGTATGAAGACTACATATTAGGAAAGTAGTGGAAAGAGAAGAGATTACACCTACTAAATAGCTTTGCGGCTTCCATTAGTAACGGCTACAAGTTTTCCTACAGTCTATTAAGTTGCTCTGCTGCTATGGAGGGTCATTCGCATCAGGGTCTAAATCTACAGGCATGCAAGCGCCTAACTCCCATTCCCACTAAAGTCAACGGAAGCCCAAATATTTTCTTAGATCTTGACCTGCTATTCTGCATCCCACCAGAAGGCCAGCCATCTCCAAGACAGATAGTTATCAAGGCTGTCAGTCTAGCATGCAGAGTAACATATTTGCCACTTCACAGCAGCAGATTTTTCTCATCTGCTGTCCACAAATTGATGCAGTAGAAGAGATGAAGAGGTAACATACGCAATCAGGCATGTAGAGACATTGGAGTCTCAAAAAAAAAAAAAAAAAACCACCCACAAGGTTTTAAGCAATGCCACTCTTCATTTGTTTTTGTGAGGTGAGAAAGTCATAGCAGATCATTGTTTTTTCCCCATAAGCTGCAAACCACACAGTGTTCCTCTGCACAGAGAAGATTCCTCTAAGTGGTTTCTATGCCCTCTGCTGGCTGAGTAATATTACTGGACTTCAGTTACATTCAAACAAGAAGAGACCTCCACAATACCTCAGATACAGGAAGTAAAGCCCCTATTCATTTAATGTAATGTAACAGAAAAATATCTTTATAAAGAGTTTACCATAAGTAATTATCTTTTTGCTACCATTTTACTTAGCTCATCATTATCCAAAATACCAATTTCTATTCCCAACTTCCTACTGTTTTCAACATAAAATTACTATGTTTCCGGCTCAGGAAGTTTTCATTTCTCAGTAAAGCACCTATGATGAACCACATCCATATCTGGCTCACTTCTGGGGAATTCCAGAGCAAGGAGTTCAGCAAGAAGTTAGGATGGAACGAAGCAAGTTGCTTAAAGCAGAAGTAGTATTCTTGCTCTGTATTCATAACATGAGTTATATCCCTCAACTAAATCTCTCATTGGTTAGAAGTAGAACACTAATTATACAGTACAAACTATATAAAATTATAATCAGAACACTGTTAGTAGAAAGACATTCTTATCCTATGTGTTTTTAATTACTGTATAATTCTGAATAACTTAGATGAATGAATTCCTATAACTTACTCTTTCACTTCAACAGAAAAAAAAGCAAAAAACATTTTCACACGTGATCTTTTACATGTAGCTGCTTATTAAACCAAGAAACAGTTAGCTTAACTGTTGTTCCTGCTGTAAAAAACCTTCAATGGTATTAGAGAATCTAAAGGTGCAGACAGATAATAGGTGGTTCTACAAATGTTAGTTTAAAAAAAAAAAACAACACTACTTTCAATTAATTTTAAAGGAAATGTAAAGCCAGCTTTTTGTCTACTACACTGATTCACCCACTGACTAGAAGAAATTTCAGTGCATCCAGCCCAGACTCCACTCTGAAGAAAAGTGGACTACACAAACTTCTCAGAAAATAGTAGCGTGCTCCTAAGTCTTGTCTGTCTTAGTGTTTACCTGCATGCGCTGATTCCCAGGAAGCACTTGGCCTGCTATATATGCTTTCAGCTAATATATATGTATTAAATCACCAGAGACAAGGCCTTAGGATACAGCCTTTCTGCTATTTAAGAGGCCACAGCCCATTTTAGTATGATGGATCATCACTCCATTACTACAGAAAGAATTACTCCAATCTAAGACACCTTTGAATATTAACTGGGCACCAATAGGTACCTAGACATACCTAGCTAACGGAGATCCCTATTTAATTTATTTTTTTATTTGAAAATTACACATTCCATTCTTGATAAGCACTGCTGGAGTAAGCTCAGTATTAGCATTCTCTGGAGGATTAGGCAGACTTTATGCAACAATTACTAGTCTGAGAGCTTCAGAGCATTTCATAGGCCAAGATGCTTGTCTTTTGGCCTTAAGAATGGACTTGAGATCTCCTCCTGAATATAGTCTGTTGAACACAGAGCCAGACCTGTCAAGTAATGTAAGCTCTTGCACATTAAGAGTCAGAAATCAAATACGCCACAGGTCTCTACTCCAAGAGAGATCCTAAACCTAAAAGATATTTCCTACTGCTCTTGCTAAAAATCTGTCTGCATTTTCCTCATTTACAGAAAAATGCAGTAAATCGAGTGATGTGTCATGAATTCAACAAAAACTTTTACTTCACAGCTGGGCTACAACTCAAAACAATCTGTTGCACTGAGGCAGCCATTCATAGCTGGCCAAGAGGTTATGTCATACAGATAGCTACAGTTCTGATCATGCTCTTTTTCTGTTTGAAATATTTGCACATGTATATACAAACACATACCCGTGTGTGTGTGTGTGTGTGTGTGTGTGTGGTTTTTTTCCCCCTACACACCCCTACTAAACAAGTAGAGCTATCTGGAGGTGTGTAGGGGGTGGGAGGGAGCAATTCTCTGAGAATTAACCACTTGAGCTGAAAACTTAATAGTAAAAATGCATCAGGCAGAAATATTTAGAAGAGCTGCAACCAAATAAACTGACATATCCAAAAACAAAGTTTGGATGAAACCTCACTGCTCTTCATACACAAGAGATCTCCAGAAGTCTAAATCTGAGTGTTCTAGAGCATGAACTTAACACTTGGGAAACAATATGCCTTTAAGCATGCCATGAAAATCCACAATAAGTTTTACACTCCAGATATAAACTGGTACATGCACACACCAGCTTTCAGTAGCTAATTTTTATATTAGAAGTCCATGCCTCAGAAAGCTTGAGTACTTATTTTTACAATCTTAAAACAATTAAACACTTTAATGTAATATAGTGCATTTTCAGTAAAATAGCGTGGAATCTATAGTTAACAAAATAACAAAAAAAAAAGTAGTTTCATTTTTCAGTTCAAGAAAAGGGGCATTTTCATTAGGGTACCAGACAGAGAAAAACGAAAGACATATACTAGGCTCAGCGTATTGCACTTTAAAGATCTTACCGAGCCTGTTAATATTCTTCACAGGAAAAAATACTACCCTTGGAATAAAATCATCCCTAAGGCACGTCATTCAGACATATCACATAGTTTGTACTTCTGTGATACAATAGTGAAAGACAGAACTTGAAACAGTTTCAGTATTTAAAAAAAGATATTGACTAGAATGTGCACTTGAAAGTATCTGATTAAGTTCACAAAAATACTTGCATTACAGCCCCATTTTCACAAGCTGCTGGCGAGTTCAACAGGATCAGTATCAGAATTGAGTTTATTATCAATTCCTCAGAAGCTTTCTAGCGACTTCCCTTTCCTTTTACTCTACTTGTTGAAAAAAAGTAAATTTCTCATATAATGTTACACTAAATAGCTCAACAGAATCCTCTTTCTGCAAAATACTTCTTTGGAGAAATTCACAGTTCTATAATGACTTTGTAAAATATATCATGTCCTTATTTCACAATTGTCATACTAACCCCACAGATTTGTGATTTTGAGGGCAAAATAAGAGCAGCTAAAGATGTTGGAACCATCCTATACAGGTTATCTGATCATGAAATAAGCAATTAAAATTTGATAAAACCTTGAAGTGAAACTTAATTGCCAAGTGACAAGAACAGGATACAAGAACAAAGGAGGTATTCAGGCTAATTTTGTGTAAGTCATTGATTTTGCATATAAGCATTATAGGTAAATTAAGTTAGCTAGAAAAGCATAGCACTTATGGGGATTCCAAGAACACATTTACTTATCAATTCTATCCTCGGCTGTTTTTCAGTTGATAGCAAGCGGTTATGATCTTTAAGGGCACCCAGTAGTAAGTATTTTACTTAATTAAGCTGAAATATCCTATTTGTGTATAGTGAGTTTTTTAAATTTATTATTCCCACTTTTAGGGATTCTCAGATTTTCTCCACTATTTGAGATACTAAATTAACTGGATTAGTTATAAAACGTATTCTGCAGAGGAGTAGTTACACTGAGACAAGATGAATAAAAAATCATTTGTCTTAAAAATTCTTTGGCCTTTCTTAGCACTTACAAAAAAAGACTTACGAAAAACAAAACTATCTGATTCCCCTGCACATAAAAAGTTTATGTGGGAACATAAAAGTCTAACGCACAGTAAAGTTAAGATTATTATATCTTAACACTGGAAAAAAGTTATACTGTGTTACGCTATTTTCATTTACCTAAGTACTTCTTCTGCCTGCCAGGCAGCATCTTCCTCTTCTTCCCAAGCATTAGTATTTTCTTGCCAGGTATCCAGGTCTCCCAATTCAGGCTGAAACAAAACAAAAAAGGCTCTATACGCACATGGAGGTGCTCTCAGATAAAAACACTTTTGTTTTTAATCTTAATGCTTAAGATTTCCAGAAACCTTTGGCATATGACTGCTTCTGAGCTTATCATCTGTGTGTTTTCCCATCTTCCAATACTGACTTTTTTCAGCTTATTGTTGGTATAGCTTTTTGGATTCTTCACAGCTGGGGAAGGATGGATGGAAGAGTGGACGGAATTATTGAAAGGTGTTTTTAGGAAGGGGAAGATTAAGTTGAACAGACAGCTGAGCAAATGTAACAGATTTCTGGAAGTTCCATGGACAAACCGACATATACATCCATTGGTTTATCCTTCCAATACTGTTTGAGTGCTGCTGTTACTTGCAAGTTCTTTTCTAAATTATTTTCATTATGAAAATAATTCTAATTCTTATTCTACGGCTGTGTTATGACCATCCCGCACTGCTTCCTGCCTAGACCCTTTTGTGCACCACATTAATGTGGCGAAATGTTAAAAAAAATGTTTTGTGGCACTTTGTCCAGAGGTAAGAAGTTAAAAATATTTAGAAGATTTTAAAGGAGAGAACACACAATCAAGATGGAAAGATAAGCCAGAAGCCTTACCATAAGAAAAAAAAAAAACCTTCTACTCTTGTTGAGAACTAAACGATGCAAAGCCTCAAAAGTTCACAGTCCACTGTTTTAGGAGACTTGCAAATACATAGCTGTTCAGGAGTCTTCCTACCTTTTTATCCTCTAATCTGATAAACTTCTCAGTAGAATAAATTAGTTAGTATTAGCTACTTTTTTGCTTTGAACTAAATGCTCAATTTTAAAAGCATTTACATTATTCAGCAGCTATTCTCCTGCTCTCCATAGAGCAGACCTCCTTTCTCCTTAGGAACAGCAATTTACCTGTCAAATAAAAGATCAGTATTTAGAGCATACTTACAGACTGGTGAATAAAAGGAATATCTTGTGTAGCTGCTAATCTGCTAGAGAATCCTGAGTTTCCCTCCGGGATTCCAAAATTTAAAGGCTCTCGTTTTTTAATAACTATCTGAAAATATTCAAAAAAAAGGAATGAAAAAAGGTGAGTTAGAGCACTGCACAGATTCCTTGGTGATCAGATACTCTACCTATGAAAGGACACCTACACACTGTACTGTGTCTCAAATCTGCTCAGGTCCCAGAAGCTGTACAGCTAAATCGATTCATAAGTAGCAGCAGCCTTTTTTGCCTTCATCCCCCCACTCACCAAGCCAGCTTTTTCTCCAGTGACATGGAGACCTATGACTGCATCAAGACAGAAAAAGGGCAGAAAGAGTTAAAGATCCTATAGCCACATCTCCCAGTATTCGTATAATTTACCAGTGACATGTTCCCCTAGAGAAATCCAGCCTCCATGATAAACGCTGCTTTGGAACATGAGTTATCTCAGGTACATAACAACGTTGCTGTGCCGACAATCCGAGTTTCAGTAGACAGAAAGTAACTCACTATAGCATCAACTGGTTCTGTATGGGTTTAGCTGAAAAATATGCACTAATGCTTCTCCTGAAAACCTAATTAGTAAGTTTTAAATGGTTGCCAAGATCATGCATCCCTTTGTCTTAAGCTCAAAATATGAGCTCGCTTGCTTTGTTTAGTCTCCTTTAAGTTCATGCTGCTTCCAAAAGAGGAAGATCCCCAATTCCACTGACTGTACAAACATCCAGACATTATACATACGAGCAATAACACAAGGAGACTTCACCTCAGCCCATTCACTGCAAAACTACAACTACAAATTCAAATTTAAAGGTGATAGTAGGGCAGAGTTGGAAGGTATGATCTTTAACGTGTCTGCAGGCAATCCTAGAAATGCGTTTAAACTAAACCAAACATAAAGACTTCAAGCTGCATGGACTCTTGGGTTTTGTTTCTGTACGTGAGGCTCAATCTGTTTGGTGGAAAACGTCACAAGATACAAAAGTGAAGTCTACCTCTTGCCCACTCCTCCTCCACCCCCCAGATTTTGCAAGATCAATATCCTAAGAAGAATTCAAGTCGCAGAATCCTGCAAGTCCTGAGCGTACAGAAAACTGACTCCAGTATCATCTCCAGATCATAGGATCATAGGATCTCCGGTCCAAGCACCTGCACAAAGCAGGGTCAACTTTGAGATTAGAGCAGGTTACTCCAGGCTTTATCTAGTTTATAGTATTTGTTTATAGTATTAACACTATTGCAGAGATATGCTTGTGCCTTTTCTTGAAAAGAAAATCAGACCTTTGAAGAGCAAGCTATTTTGAAACATCAACTCCGTAATACCACTCTCCCAGTGCAGCTTGGTGAAATGAGCAAAATTCCGTTTTCTAGAACACCAGTATAGCTACCTCAAACTTTTGAAAGAGCAGGACCTGGAACGTCTCTGTGCGAACAACGGAAAGGCACGTGAACAAGTGTCTTCTTTCAGTGGTTCTATTTTCAGAATTGAAGCTGGCATGAGGGTTCTCAAAGTTATTCCCTATATTTCCAGAACGTTCATACTATGAAGTGCCTCATAAGTTTCCAGAAACATTAAGATCAACGACATAAACATAAACTAACGCTTCATATTGAAAGACCTCCAAGACTCAGGACTTGCAATTGGACTGTTATGCTAGACATTAGCATCTAACCTCATTTCAGGAGGACAGTTTAATTTTGCCCAAAGCACCTATTTTATGATTTACTTACTGAGTGTTCACTTTACTTGAAAATAGATTGTAAGTATGGCTGAAAGCTCAGTACTTACTTTTTGAGTTTTTCTTATAGTTGGTGTCATGTCTTTGAAATAATCAGGTTCCATTTGTTCCAAAGCATTTTGCTGAGCAGTCACATTACCGTTCCCACCTTCAATCTTCACACTGGTAGGTGCATCTTCATCCCATGAAGACCAGTCTTCTACTTCTGGCTGAAGAGAAGTGAACAACAGAAGTTATTACTTGCAAATAAAACTTTGCCTTACTATATATTACTGAGACAAGAGGAATGGTAATAATGACTCTATTAAGTCACCTACAACTTAAGTAATTACCTGTTTGGGAACAGACGAATAATCCACTGTGGTTGGCAAAGTTATTTGGTCCCCACTTAACTTTCGCCCTCTTCCAGACCTGAAAGAAAAACGTAGGATTCCTCCAAGCTCTGAAAACATGAGCACTAAGTTAAAAAAGAAAGGAAGTCTGAGAACAGAACTACTGAAAATAGTCATGGCTAAATCATTAAGTGCTTAAACTACCTCAATATTAGCTACTGCTAAGAGTCTTGCTAAACAAAGGAATTTCATCAGCAGTAAGAGTTTAAAGGAACGTTCATAAGAATTTCAAAGTGTGATTTACTTTTTGTATTTCTTACAGAGCCTTGATTTGCATGACAGTTTGAATAGAGACAAATTCAGTTATGCGTTTATAGTCAGGTTCAATTTGCAGATTGTCAGTGCTTAAAAAGCAAACACTACGAATCTATATTTGTTCAAAGACAACTACCTCCACTGAAAGCTCTCTGGGAAATATTTCTACCGGTCTGAGATGTTAAGCTGTGTTTTACAAATCATGTTCTGAGCGTCTTGATTTGAAAGCTCCTCTAAAGCACTTTGTCCTCAGAAGTCTAAATAGAGGTAGCACAAGAGTATACAAGTCCACAGCTTCTGTTCAGTACATGCTTCTAATTAAAGAATATTGTTCCAACGAAGGTGTTTCAGCAATTGTATCAAATAATTTTAATTGAAGACAAACACTTGTACATTATAAATGAGACAGATATTTACTTAATGATAGTGGGCAAAGATTATAATAATAATTAAAATATATTTAGTTGACATTTGATGTATTTTAAATTACACAGGGGAATGAACTTCATACTGACGCTCTCATGTTTTCCCCAAGAAGCATACTCTCCTATAGCAAGACAGGCATATAACTGGACTTACTCAACTTGAAAAAGCAAGATTTATTTATTACTACTGAGGAGAATGCACCAGGGAAACTACAGTTTAGAGTGTGTGTTTGTTATTTTTACTATTACAGAACATTCTACCATCAGGTCAGAACAATTCAACCATTTGTAATGCAACCTCTGCTGCACGTCGGTAAGCAATCAGATACCATTTTTCCTACTTGAAGTCCAACAGATGTCTTCCTTACGAGAGATCAGCTGTTTATGTTAAGTTTTCAGGCTTTATGCAATAAACTCCAGTCAACTGAGAAATTATTCCTTTCGACTGAAAAACAACTCAGTTTAGGGATAAAGAAAGGTCACTATAATTTTATTAATTCATTTCTGAAAATCTTTATAGTAATATGGATGTAATTGCAAAAGGTACCAATACAGACTGACCCTCCACTGAAAATTTCCAGCCTTAAAAATAACTATGTAAGTGATTTTTCTTCGCAACATCTTAAATTAAAAGAAGGAAGCTCCTTAGTACTACCCAAATTTCTTTTTACCTTTTCCAAACAGGAAATATTGAAAAGGTAGAGATGAGGGAAGACAATTACAAGTCACACTGAAATACTTCTGCCTTGAAAGCAAAAAAGAGAAGTTACACTTCACTTGCAAAAAAGAATTCCAGGAGAGGGAAAACCTTACATGCTTCAGGTTTAAGACTGCAACTTACAGAGGCCTAACAACCTTGAGGCAGCTTCAGGAAAAAACAAAACAAAACAAAAAGCCCCTAAACCCTACAGTGTTAAGAAGTCCAAATGAAGGTAGCTCAGAAACAGTTATGACTAATTCTAAAAACACTAAAATAGTCGACACAATTCTAAACTCTATCCTACGTGGTATATGCGTAAGTTTAAACTTTGAGCACATCCCCATACAAAAAGATCACAAGGAAACCCACATGTAAGTATCATTTCAGGATGACCGTGGGGGATGAAGCGGGAGTGGTCTTTAAACCAAAGGCAATCTACTATTGAAGGGTGAACAATTACATTTTCCCTCAGGAGTGTTTGCCTTCACTTATGCAGTCAGGTGAGATCTACTTTACTCTTTCCTTGGCATAAAAAAATAATTCCATCTATTTGTCGTTAGATTCTCTAACGGACAAAAAAGAAAAGCACAAACAGATTAGAGACTTCTGGTTCTTACACTGACTAGATTTTAGCTGGTCTCTCTAAAAGAAACCCATCATCCTTTAAACATTAGAAACATCATCCTTTAAACTTACTGTAGTATTAGAGAGAAGTATACATATTGTATATATAAACTACTGAAATGGTGGCTTATATTTTCCTATATATACGTGAACAGTTTACATTAGCTTTCTAATCTTGAGAAAAAAAATTGGTCTACATATAGGCAAAGTAGCTTCTGTGAATTCATATTTAACATAAGACCTTTCCAAATGAAATCTTCATTCGCTGGCAAGAAAAATAAGCCTTGCTGGAAGTTCTGCACCTGCAGAACTTCAAAACTGTTAAATATCTTTACAGCATCTCTAGCACTGTTATCGCACAGAACATGCCACTCAGAAAGGCATACTATATTTAAAACTTTCAGAGTCTGGACTTCTTTGCCCAGCTCTACTTCTTAACAGCTAGAAGCCTGTGTGAAACCACACAACGTTCCTGATAATTTGGGAAATTGTGATACAGAAAGTTCTCAAATCTCTAGTAACTAAAGAAATCAAGTTGTCTCAATCTTTGCCCAAACCCTCTTAAAGGAGAGGTGGCACTGCTATTCTACAGCTATGTCTAAGACTTGATCTAGAAGACACAATAATGATATCAATGAGTGGCTTATAACAAATGATCTAGCCAAAACAGTGGCATTGACAAGCATGAATGAGGAAGGAAACAGCTTCTGTCACAGAAGTTGGAAAAGAATTAGGCAGCATATAGGGCAGCACTGAGGAAGGCTACATATCTGCATCTCTTTTCTACAGAGGGACCAACAGGCTCTCAGGAACAGTTGCACCCTATCATTAGACAGATACTGATTATTGCCTTGAAGGCCAAATTTCTCAAGACTTCTTAGTTTTCTTAATCCTTACAATTTAGTAGCATCCAGATTTGCCAGTAGGATGAACTTAACAGGTATAAATGCACAATGAAAGGAAGCATCCTTCTGTTTTAAATATTTAGTTATTTCCTGGAAACAGCAATTCATGCAGAGTGTTGTAAGTCAACACATTTTTAACTAAAAAGATAACAAGTAACAAATATATGTTTTATGCTGACTAGAAAGATGCACAGTCTTTACAGATACTTGTTTAAATTAAAAACTAATTTAAATTATAACCTGAATACATGCTAGCTCATGTCCATTGAATTAAAATGCACAAGCAATCACATTTGCTGGTTATCAGACAAACTCATATGCAGCGATGGATTACAAGAAATCAAAATTTATCAAACTATGCTTTGAAGCTGACATTAAACAGGAGAAATATCTGTGGTTAACCGACTGAGCCAGTCCGACCCACTGATTGGCTTACATGAAAGATTTTATAATTTTCATCCTTTAACTAGTTGTTATTCAAAGAGCAGCTCTCCTACTTCTTACTCCCAATCAGTTCCTCAACTATTTCAATGATTTAGTACTTTAAAAAAGTTGAATAAGGGAGGAAAATACTGTCACTACACCAAGTAAACAATTATCTGCTTACAAAAGCTATCTTAACACTTAAAGGGATTAGGGGACCGTGTGTTTCAGAAGTTATAATCAATTCAGTGACTTGACTTCTTTTAGAACTTGAACAGCAAGTATTCTTAATTGAACCTGGAATTTGAGTCAAAGAACTAAGGCTGACATTTATATAGCTCTAGGCAGCATTAAAATGCAGCCTTTTAGAAGTTAACTAGATCCACATTGAATTTATCAGTCAGCTGAAAGCTTCCTCTTATTCTTGGAACAATTTAAGGGGAAGAGAAGATAAACAGTTCAGATACTATTTTGCGTCGTGTTTTCCATACCTCTTAACTTTAATGGCAAGTAGTCTTCATACACAAAAGCAAAATGTATTTCTCCAGACTGTTGTTTATGTAGAACAACATTTTGTATGGTTGACGAGACATGAACAGTAGTCCAGATGACAGTACAATACTGAGAAGCTCTAGCTCTGGTATTGTTGAACCCTACTATTACATAGCCACAATTTTTGAGGGTTTTTTTTTAAGCTAATACAACCTACACTGCCACGTTCGTAAGTTTATACATTGTGTGTGCATTCTTGTAAGTCATAAGATACCTTCATTTAAGAAAAAAAAAAAAAAGGAAGGCAATTCTCTTGACCTCTAATCACTGTCCTCAAAACCTTTGAAAAAAAAAAAAAACACTAATAGTCAGAAGAACCTAAGTTTTAAGCAACTGTTTTTTAATAAAGCAGGATGAGGATCAGCTATATCTATAACGAAAGCTTAGTGACTGAAGACAGAGCAGATGCTGTCCCTAACTGAACCTTTTGAAACAAAAAAATCTCTTGACAAATCCTTTCAAAAAAATTGGAGAATAATTTTTCTTCAGGTTTGTCACAGGGCAGTTTTAAAAGGCAAATTTATACCCTGTCATAGCTGTTTGTAAACCGTTCCTCACGATATCTGGCATGCCACAAAATATGCCGATTCTTACAACTGCAGTATATAGACTTTTGAACTCCAATGGAATATGCAGATTCAAGAATGAATTTAATTTAGTTGTATCTGTCTTGGTTGCTCTGTAATTAGCACTAATACCAGAACTACGAAAAGAGGTGGGTAGGTGTGGCAAGAAAGAAAGAAGAAAAATGACCTGTAGTTAAAAAAGAAAAGGTAACCAAATTACATTGAATATGTTTACCTGCATATTAGCTTTTTAATGAAAGAAAGCACTGCTGCCAGGCAAGTACAGATTTTAAAGAGCCGAAACTGCGTTATGGCCATGGTGAGAAACCCTTCCTGCAAAAGAAAAAAGTTAAATGTTGAGCATAATACATCTTTACATAGCTGTCAAAGCCAATTTCCTTACTGCTCATAAGCAAGGAGCATTCCATGTAAGAAAAGAGCAGAAGTACATAGAATGGAGAGTCTCCCTGTCTATTTATCAGGACATTTCACTGATGTAAATAATAAAAATATCTTATTTATGTTAAAGACACAGCACAAAACATAGATAAAGTCAGAGTTAAAGACACTTTTCAAGGGGAACTGCTGGCAATCAGCTGCAGTGACTCTGAACAGCTGATCTACTTTAGAAATGAACAATAGTGTTGAAACAACTGCATGGAGAGTAGAATGACGACCAGTAAGAAGCTCATATTTGCTTAAACAAGTCCTGCATGTTCCAATTATACATTTTTATGAAACCACCATTAAGTCAAAATCCAGAACTGGCTGTTTAAAGCTTCCAATGACCTTAATAGGGAATGTGTGATGAGAACAAACATTGTTTATTTTAGAGATCAGTATCACTGGAAAATCATTAGGAAAGAAAGATTCTACTCATCCTGGGTGCATTACAGCACAAGTTAATCCCCTAGCTATGTCAACATTTCTGTGCCAGACTGGACCAAGTCAGCAAATCAAATCAGGTAAAACCTGATCTTCGGCAGAAGTCACTTATGCTGGCTGCTATTTTTCAGTGTCAATTTGATCATCTAGAGAATTTATGTTCAGCACACCATATTCATTCCAACAGATCCCCTCAGATAAGTATACACTAAGTCAGAATAAGCTTCTGTAATTCTAAGATCCTTTCATCTCTCCTACAGGTGAGTATTTCAGAGGGAAGAAGTTAGGCTACAAAAGCAGCTTTTATATACAGCTAGACTGATGATAACATTTTCTGTTGCAACTTTACCATACCTCCTGGTGAGAAGAGAAGACAGCCCTGTGGCATTTTCCTCAGACCACGAGTATTCCACGCAAGGATAGCTTGATTTCAAATATGCTGTGGTATTTAAGCCATTTTTTATATTCCAGGCTTTAGGTTAGGAAGAGTCAGGAAGGTGGATCAATAGGTAGGCTGCTCCAATACTGCCCTGAGGATTTTATTAAAAGGTACACAATGGGATTTGTGAGCGTCGTGGAGCTTAGATTCTTTTTATTAGTTGGTGCTCGTTTGCCAGGTAACGTAACTAGTATTAAACATTGCAGTAATACGGCACTGTAAGTATTATTTCAAATATAGCCCAGATAAGAAATTTCTACCATGAAAAATTAAATGGGGTGGCCATTAAGCAAACAGGCCCTTATTCTGCAAAACAGAAGGCTTAAGTCAGTAAGTAACCACCAGGATACAGACCATACTACCAAGTTGTAGCTCAGGAGAAAGGCCTCGTAGGACACATTTCACCTCAGCTTCAAAACTAGCTTTGCCTTAATCTCATTTCTTGAGATACTACAAAACAGAGAATTTTATACAGGAGTGGGCATTAAATGAGCTTTGCCTCTAGACTGCAACAGGAAGTAGTCAAGTTTCCCCAGAAGAAGTAAGAACTGCAGACATCATCTAATACATTTAGCTGTCAGTTTTAAAGAAAGGATCATCATTTTGTATTGTGCTCACACATTTCCTTATCTTCTGGAATACGCAGTTTTGATGCTATCTAGGTGACAGAAAAATGCATCAGTTAAGAATCTGAAGAATGAGGACACATGGAAACTGGTGAGCAAAAACAGTGAAGAGCAACTAGATGGGCAGTTCCCTATTGTAAAGTTGGAGATTATTACAAAGTAACACTGAATTGGCAAATAAATTGTTACTTTAAAAAGACATAGCTAGAAGCCATCTAGGCGGGATTTCCCGTATAAAGAGCAGGTGACCTTTTGAAATCAGAGTAAAGGTATATCTCTTCTGAAAGGAGAGTTGTTTAGAGGCTTATCCCCCTCTTCTTCATCACAATGCACTCTTCTGTTGCTGGGGAGAGGGGAAGAAACGTACTCAACGCCAGAAAGAGTGAAGCAATTTTCCCAGTTTAGCCTACCTAGCTGCCAAACCAGACAGTCCAGGCAGACCCTGTATTAAAAAACAGAACTACTGATTGAAAAGATCGTCTTAGGAAGCAACCGTTACTAAAAAATTCTTCAAAATTAAGCACAAATAACACTGAATCTGCAGGACTGGGAAGCTTATTAGCTAAGTGTAAAACCAAAACTAAACAACAGTGAAGTGTCATTTATACATAAAATATGTTTTTTCAATTGATCTCCAGCCTCTGTAATTTTTTCTTGATGTTGAGTTGCATACTGTATTGACTTCTCAATATAAAGCTAAACAAACAAAAAACCCACATGCACACAATCCACAAGAAAATCCACAGAATCCATATGGAAAGTCTAGCCTGCCTCGCAGCTCACTGCTGACAAGAATTAGCCATCAGAAGTCAAAGTTAATGCTTTTTTCCTGGGTCATTCTCATACATGAATGAGTATACTTTCAACATATACCTGTTTGTCGAGGTTCAATAACTGTCTTCACTCCCTTCCCCATAGCACTCAGAGGACTCCTCCCCACCTTCACTTGCCATGTCTGATGTGGATATTTCAGAGTTATATTGAGAAAGACATGCCATACTGTATTCGTATAAGAAAGACGTTTCACTTCAAGTATGACAAAACCAAGCCCTTCCAGACAGTAAATCCTGTTCTGCCTTCCTCTTCTCTAAACTTTGATTGTAGTCTTCCCTATTACATTAAGCCTTACATACTAGAAAAAGGAGGATACACTGAGTTTTGGAAAAAATAAAATATCAGCTGGCCACAGTAATATCAGCAATCACTTCACTTTAAAAAGTGCTTGCAGCAGCATATCTGGCAGTTATACCGCTAATTAAGATATGAAGCAGTAAATACGCACTAATTTTCGCAATATGCTAGAAGCTACATAACAAGAATCTTGAACCAGCTCCTCGGACTGAGATTAGGACAAGTAAAACATTCCTGCCAGCGCCTAAAACAGCACATGAAACACCGGCATTATTGTTCTAAGGACAGCATCCCCCAATGAGAAAGAAAGGTTTTTGTTTGTTTGTTTTTTTAAGTTAACTAGTGAATTTTCTCAGAGGGTTATAACTTTATCTTCTGAAACAGTTGCATGAGTGGAAATGTACAAGGAACCTAATACTTTCTGAGCTTAGTGCAAACCTAATTCACCTGATACCATTACACTGGACCTGTCAGGTGAAACAAAGTATTCATTCTTCTCAAGCTGTCAGTCTTTCTCCAGCAGCTAGAAAGCAAGGATGCACAGCCACGTAGCTTGTCTTATGAATGGGAACAAAAACTGAACAGCCTAATACGAAGCAGGAGGGCCATGAAGTTCTTCCCCCACCTTTTCTTCCCAGAAGTCTTTCCTTGATAATCCATCTCAAAAGGAGCTAAAACTGCATCAGCAGCTTACTATGATATAGGACTTCACTGAGACAGAATATAGAGAAGCAGTGCTCCAGGAAGAAAATTAGGAACATTTATTAATAGATGGAGGTAGAGGTAAAACATTGGATTAGAGTTAAGAAAATCCAGTCCATCTGTCAGCTGGATACACCCTTGTGCATATCACATCTGTGCCTCAGTTTCCCATTTGTAAAGTAGGATAGAGCTTTGCTTCTCCCATTATTTAAATTTATGTAATTCTTCTAATATATAAGATGTAGCAAACTTTCTATCAACTGAATTTTTAATGTATTAGCAGCCAGTGCAACACTTTCATAACAGATACCCAAACTTAACAGGAGTTCAACTTAACCAGGATGATGCGGTTCATGTGGTAGAAAGTCACAGCTGCTGCTCACATGCAAGATGAGCACAGGAAAGGTTAAAACACAACAGCAGCAAGATGTTAAACACATTATAAATAAGTCAGAAGAACAAGGCAACTTAGCCCTGAAAACATTTTGCAGATCAATAGAGGAAATACAGTGAAGGGAGGGAGAGTTCAGAATTTTATTGAACTGAAACATTTTCACATTGCTTTCAGCTTGCAGCAGCAGCAGCTTTGGAACTCCTGGCAACTCAGACTGCATCCACACTAGCTAGCAAGTTATGTGTGGTGCGTATAGTCCAGCTAAGTGAGTGAACAGAGGTGCCACAAACAAGATTCTCACTGATGGTTACTGTGTAACGAGTACATTATTGCTCAGAGAAGCACTTCCTCTTTTTTACCTAACTGCACAAAATAAATACTATTTAAACAATATTTCAAGAGAGAGAATAAAATTCTAAAATAAAATTACTCTATGGTACCAAAATTGTTAATCGATTTAATGATGATCTTATGAACATCAGCAGATGGAGCTGAAAAACTATTTACTTTCAGGTACATAAACATTCCTCCAAATCATGTATATTACAAGATGTACAAAGACATTTTGTATTAAAAAAGGTGTGTATGGTGGCGGAGGGAGAAAATAATGAGTTAGGAGTAGCGTTCAGTCGGGTTCTGAAAGACACAGTCAGCATCGCCTGCACTTCAGAAAAAGCAACCATGATTCTGTATCCTAATGAGGATGTTGTTTTCTCCTCTTTCAGGTTGTTTATTTTAAAAATCGCTTGCTACATACATAATATTGGCAACACTGAGGAGGAAAAAAAACTACTAGGTCAGTGCCTTTACAATTGAGTTTGATAAACGGACAGCTTAAACAGCAGCAGGGCAATCTTGAAGCCGTGGTACTATGGGGTTAGAGGGAAGAGGGGAATACAAAAGGAAGAGCAGGAGGTACTTCTCTACCTAACTATAGGTAGGTGGTTAGGATGATGTTAGTGAAAGGAACCATACTTTCAACATTAATGTTCCAGCTTTGAGTGCAAGCATCCTAACCAGGAAGTGATACAGTAGCTGAGAGATTTGGCTGTTCATATGTTTTATGGAAGTGAGTTAAGTTATCCAGAGTGCTCAAATCCAGAAACAGATTTTGAGATTACTAGGAGCTGCAGAAGGCAATAAAATCTAGGAAGGAATGCATTTGTCTACCATTCCTATTATGCCTAGATACCTAACACTCAGATTACTATAGAGGGAGTTTAAACTTTTTTTTTTTTTTTAAAAACTCTTTCCTTCTGGAACCATAAAACCACTACGGTAATGCCACCTCATCTCACCTCACTAAATACTTTCAGTCTTGATGACATGAACTCCTGAAGCTTTATGCTCTGAATTAGAATAAGTTCTACTTTTCAAAGCACCATTAGTTAAACCAGAATATTTATGTCCAGTGGCTAGGCACAGTGATTCTTCTTTGATAACCCACCGTCTACATATGCTACTGCCTTCTGAAAAAACATACAGAATGTAACAACTGCAGTCACACAGTCCCATGATACTACACTATAACTTAGTTCACACTTGCATGAAGTCTTTAAAATAATACACTAATCCATGTAACTCACTTTGCAATATTGGAGAAGTTCTCAGATGACAGAACTTGAGTTCAGGAGACCCTAGTTCTGTTCTAGACTTTGTTAGTCATCCTGGACTTAAGTTATCTGTATCTACATGGAAAGCTAGAGACAATAAATTAACACACTCTCATTGTTACTATCACAACTGTTTATGTTGTCTTTATAAACACCAACTATTCAGTGCTCACAGTCAAGATACACTGCAAAACATGCTGCGCAGGGTGGCTTAAAGAAAACTCTACAGAGCATGTCAGTATTTCTAAAGTATTCAGAATGACCGTACAGCAGCACACTACGTTATTTTTCATCAGATGTGTAACTGAGGCACTTGCATCATTAATTCATGGTCGTATAACAGTGCTTCATCATTCTACAGAACAATCACAAACCCAAGTGCTATTAGAGACACAGCACAGAAACCAGATTATAACACTTGAGTTTTGCATGAGATTCTTAAGCCTTTAAACGTTTGCTAAACGAGTTTCACGTGAGCTTTTATGCAGTTCCTGAATCAGCACGAACACGGAAAATTTCCACACTAGGCAGCCGCCCAGAGCGCGGTCCCGCTGAGCCCCTAATCCACAGGAAACAGCACAAAACCCCCACAGCTGCGAGAGGGCGCCCTCCCGGCCGTGGTGCCAGCAGGGCGCCAAACCTCCCAGCCCCCAAACGCGCTGCCTACCTACTCGTCGGCCACCTCTTGTACCTCCCATCT